ATAGAAAGTAGATCAGACGGCTGATCCAGACGCTGCTGCCTGCGTCCTCACTAGAACTATAGAAAGTAGATCAGACGGCTGATCCAGACGCTGCTGCCTGCGTCCTCACTAGAACTATAGAAAGTAGATCAGACGGCTGATCCAGACGCCGCTGCCTGCGTCCTCACTAGAACTATAGAAAGTAGATCAGACGGCTGATCCAGACGCTGCTGCCTGCGTCCTCACTAGAACTATAGAAAGTAGATCAGACAGCTGATCCAGACGCTGCTGCCTGCTTCCTCACTAGAACTATAGAAAGTAGATCACGTCAGCCTGGTTCAGAAGTCCTTCCTCTGGCTCCCTGTAGCTCACAGAATAGATTTTTAATCCTTCTGTCAGTCTGGAAATCACTGAATAGATCAGCACCTCAATCCATAACAGATCTGTTGTCAGTGGATCTACCTCCCAGACCATTCAGGTCTTCTAATTCCAGCCTACTCTGTCCACCCGGAACTAAAAGCAAACATGGAGCAGCAGCATCTATGTTCCACATATCTGGAACAAACTCCCAGCAGAATGAACAGAGCTGACATCCTGAGTTCTTTGAAGTCGTTAGTATAGAGCTGCCTTTCCCTGATGGAGTATAACTTAGTTATCATTGGTTCACGGTTCTGATGCAACTCTTAGATTAGCTTTACTACCTGCTTTTGTCACGTTGTTATATTTATTAGCTTTTTATTCTTATTTGTTGTTATTTGTGTTATTTTATTGTTTAATTCATGCAGGGTTTTTAATTGTTCTTGTACTGAATTTTGTCTCTAGAAGCTGCCCAGTATCTTTCCATTGTAGTGCATTTCTTACAGCCCTAACAAAGCTTAGAATGTTTATGTCAAAGGGGTTTTTGTTCTAATCCATATCCTAAAAATGATCCCAAATTATTCTTTGTTTTGTAGGTAAAGCTCCTGATGGAGCCAACGCCTCTGAGCCTTTTCCCACTTGTTTCTCCCTAAGGTGTCACTTTAAATGACATCTCTTACAGTAAACAACTCTACCGCAGAACTTAAAGTTTAACACATTTAATCTTCGTCAGGTGGAGAAATGGTTCACAGAGTAGAAGCGCTGAGCTTATGTTTGAAAGTTAACCCGCCATCAAAAGAATAATGATGAGCCTTTAAAAACACTTCTGGTTGTTCATTTACCAAGAGGTGAAAGTAGTTTTCTATTCTTCTACTGTATAAAGGAATTAATTGGCTCATTGTTTTTTTACACCCTGCATGGATTTTCAAAATTTACATATTTTGGAATGTTATATATAAACAGCTGATTTAGGCCTTTAGTTTACCCATTTGAAATATTCAAGAAAAGGAAAAAATGTTAAAACAAAGATAAAAAAAATTGTAAGAGAAATTCAAATAAAAAATGCACAGATTTTCTTTATTTTCCAGATAATTTCTTAAATTCTAACCTACACACACATATATATATATATATATATTCAATTCATTTTATTTATATAGTGCCAATTCACAACACGTCATCTGAAGCCATTTTACAGATCAACCAGATCATACAGTCAAATTGATTCAAAGTTTTCTATCTAAGGAAAACCAGTTGATTGCATCGACTCATTGACTCTTCAGCAATCCCTCACACTAACCATGCTTGTAGCGACAGTGGAGAGGAAAAACTCCCTTTTAACAGGAAGAATCCTCCAGCAGAACCAGGCTCAGTGTGAGCGGCCATCTGCTGAGGCCGACTGGGGTTCAAGGAGACAGAAGCAGAGACACCAAAAGCAGCTGTAAAAGGTGGCCCCGTCCAGGAAACACACAGCCAGGCAGACGAGCTCCGAGCCAGCTCCCATGTCAGAGGATGAAGAGAGCACATCCAGTCAGTCACGGTTAGAGAAACAGGACTACACTGAAAAACAGGCTGATCTCCAACATCTAGAAACAAAGGTGTTGATGGCAGCAGCACAGCTGATATTTCTCTGGAGTCACAGCCAAACAGGAACAGACCAGATGAAGCTACTATGAGGAAAAGCAGAGAGAGCAGAACGTATTGTAATTCTTTCCTATCAGGAAATCCACAAACTGTAGTTAAAAGCCTTCAGCTGATCCAAAATGCTGCAGCCAGAGTTCTGATGAAAATGAAAAAGAGAGATCATCATTTTTTAGCTTTGAGGGAGAGTTTTTGAAAGCGACAATCTCGTGCTTTCAGGGGAGACAAAGGAGGCACTGGATCTCCAGGAGTCATTTTTGGAGCCAGTTAAAAAGAAAAAAAACAAAGAAAGCTTATTACTGAGCATGTGGGCTCAGTAATAACGATGCCCTCGCTCTTCTTGGAGGAGGCGGGGCCAATGTTACCTGCTCACTTTGCAGTTGTTCTTTGGATCAATCACCATCTAGCTTTTAATTACTTTCAAACTCTCAAACATAACTAAAAAAATAAATCCAAAACACAATGTGACGTGAATATAAGGTGTAGTAGAGTTGAAAGAACAGATTTGTAGTGGAGTTAAAGTAGAAAGTAACCATGGATAAATCTACTTAGGTAAAGTACAGCTACATAAAAATTGTACTTAAGTACAGAACAAACTACTTGTTCTTAGTTACATCCCACCACTGGGTGCTGCAGCACGTTTACATGTGAACCCTCATCACTACATTCCTTCCTGTTCACATGAGCATATTTTTCATAAACTTCATGGTTATTGCTAGAGCTGTTTGTTAAAGAGCCTCCTTTAATTCTGAGGCTTTTCTTGTTTGCATTGTGGCTGCTGGTGCAACTAAAGCGGCTCTCTTTGCTTCCTCTCTGTGGGATGGACAGAGCGCCACTCCTGGGAGAATAGCCACTAGAAGCAACTGAAGAGCAAGTTGAACTAATAATCTTTGTGGGTTTGTCTTTTCCAAGAGGCCAAGCATCTTCCCCTCTTTAGGTTCTGAATGTGTTTCTGTGTCGGTTGTACTTCCTTCATCCACAGTTTCCATTGGTTTCTTTCCTCATATTTCCGTCATCTCTTTAAACAGATTTTCTCTGGTTTTCCATGAACCACAGATTGATTCATTTCTTAAATTCAACAACTTATATTTTGGTTGAAAGCAACATTCTTGGTCCACTGAGTGTTCGTCCTAATTGAAATATTTTTTAACAGACATTTAGTGGTTTGAACAAAACAAGATCTGTGTCAAAGTCTTGATGTTTCTTTAAAAGATGCTCAGGACACAGTAGTTCCTCAGTGACCTTTGGAGAGGAATCGCTCTCCTTCCCTTCATGTGGTGAGACAGTTTTTCTGCCTTTTCAGTAAGTTTTGGCTCCCTCTTGTGGCCATTATCTACAACATCCACTTCTGAAACCTCCTCCCATTAAACACAAAACCTTTTTCAACAATAAAAGCATCCCAAGATCCAATGAATGTGCATCTGATTCAGGTAACTGGCTGGAAAAACGCTCCTGCTTTATTAGACTTAGACTTAGACTTAGACAGTACTTTATTGATCCCTTGGGAAGACTCCCTCTGGAAATTAAGGTTACCAGCAGCTTACAGGGCAATAAGTTAAATTAAGTTAAAATTAAGCAACAAAGAAGTATTAAGTTAAATAAAATTAAAATTGAGCAAAATACAAATACAAATAAATATGGAGTTCACATTTTACAGAAAAAATAAAAAATACAAATGTTGTATTCCTTCCCTCGCCCCCAGTGAGGCGTTGTACATTCTGATGGCGTGGGGGGACAAAAGAGTTCTTAAGTCTATTGGTCCGGCACTTGGGAAGCAGCGGTCTGTCACTGAACAGGCTCCTCTGGCTGCTGATGACGGTGTGCAGAGGGTGGCTGCTGTTGTCCATGATGACCATCAGTTTATTCAGTGTCCTCTCCTCTGCCACCGTCACCAGAGAGTCCAGCTTCATGCCGACCACGGAGCCGGCCCGCCTGATCAGTTTGTCCAGGCTGGACGTGTCCTTCTTGGATGTGCTGCCTCCCCAGCACAGCACGGTGTAGAAGAGGATACTGGCAATCACAGACTGGTAGAACATAGTAGTTTGCTGCAGATGTTAAAGGACCGTAGTCTCCTAAGAAAGTACATCCTACTTTGTACCTTCCCGTACAGGTAGTTGGTGTGTTTTGACCAGTCCAGTTTGCTGTCCAACCACACCCCAAGGCACTTCTAGGAGTCCCCAGCCTCCACTCTATTAGAACAGATAACAGCCTTGGTTCAGTAGTCATAACTCGTCTTTTCAATTAACATTTTTCCAGGGCATTTATTCAACCCATCCATATGTTTCCAGGTGTTAATGGTAATTCTTAACATAGATAAAATGTAAACAAAGTTCAACACGTGACACATAGCCCACCTGGGTGTGCGTCCAGCAATAGCACATTGAGGGCTGTTATCTTGGACTGGTGCAAAGATGACAGCCTGATCCTGAAGGTGGAGAAGATGAAGGAGATCAT